GAGGGCAGTATAACACCAGCAGAGGGCAGTATAGCACCAGCAGAGGGCAGTATAACACCAGCAGAGGGCAGTATAGCACCAGCAGAGGGCAGTATAACACCAGCAGAGGGCAGTATAACACCAGCAGTATAGTACCAGAAGTATCAGACAGAACCAGTGGATAAAATTAGAAAATGCTTTTATTCCATTGAGCAAGAATAAGCATTAATATTGAACATTTCTTTACAAACCTCATTCAAACGATCAAGTATTTGGTTAAAAAATTAAAGCAAATTGTGAATAATTGAACAAAAACAAAACTGATTCAAATATTAATAAATTAAAGTTTGTAGAATAAAGTAACAGTTGATTGTCCTTTGTTTGGCGACGCTGACAGAAAAATAATGTTATTGAGCGTCACACATGGTCCTGCTAATTAAAGGCTGAGGACGGAGAGGACCAGACACCAGTCAAAACAACGACATCACAACAACACGCAACAGCCGTGACACAAAACACACCTCATTAGTTCAACGCACAAGTCACAGAAGTTCACACACACAACTTCTGATTGAAGAAACCAGTGCCTGCTTCATGACCACGGGACGCACTGGTGCCAGAGGACCATGGACCACCACGATGGTATGGTCTTTAATACAGACTTGGTTTGAGCTGGAGACTAAATTGTACTGTATTGTACTTCTCAGAATGAAATACTCTGGCTGCCCTGAATAGACTTTACTACACTGCAAAAAATTTAAAATATGTAAGAAATGCTAGAATCAAGTGTTTTTGAGTGAGTACTTTCCCAATGGGGAAAAACCATAGTTTTATATCAAGATATGTTGCTTTATTTTCAGAGAGAGACCAGAGAGAGACCAGAGAGAGACCAGAGAGAGAGACCAGAGAGAGACCAGAGAGAGACCAGAGAGAGACCAGAGAGAGAGAGACCAGAGAGAGACCAGAGAGAGACCAGAGAGAGAGACCAGAGAGAGAGACCAGAGAGAGAGACCAGAGAGAGAGACCAGAGAGAGACCAGAGAGAGACCAGAGAGAGAGACCAGAGAGAGAGACCAGAGAGAGAGACCAGAGAGAGACCAGAGAGAGAGACCAGAGAGAGAGACCAGAGAGAGACCAGAGAGAGACCAGAGAGAGAGACCAGAGAGAGACCAGAGAGAGACCAGAGAGAGACCAGAGAGAGAGAGACCAGAGAGAGACCAGAGAGAGAGACCAGAGAGAGAGACCAGAGAGAGAGACCAGAGAGAGAGACCAGAGAGAGAGACCAGAGAGAGACCAGAGAGAGACCAGAGAGAGACCAGAGAGAGAGACCAGAGAGAGAGACCAGAGAGAGAGACCAGAGAGAGAGACCAGAGAGAGACCAGAGAGAGACCAGAGAGACCAGAGAGAGGCCAGAGAGAGAGACCAGAGAGACCAGAGAGAGAGACCAGAGAGAGACCAGAGAGAGAGGCCAGAGAGAGACCAGAGAGAGAGGCCAGAGAGAGAGACCAGAGAGAGACCAGAGAGAGACCAGAGAGAGAGACCAGAGAGAGAGACCAGAGAGAGAGACCAGAGAGAGAGACCAGAGAGAGACCAGAGAGAGACCAGAGAGACCAGAGAGAGGCCAGAGAGAGAGACCAGAGAGACCAGAGAGAGAGACCAGAGAGAGACCAGAGAGAGAGGCCAGAGAGAGACCAGAGAGAGAGAGACCAGAGAGAGAGACCAGCAAGAGACCAGAGAGAGACCAGAGAGAGACCAGAGAGAGAGACCAGAGAGAGACCAGAGAGAGAGACCAGAGAGAGACCAGAGAGAGACCAGAGAGAGAGACCAGAGAGAGAGACCAGAGAGAGACCAGAGAGAGAGACCAGAGAGAGAGACCAGAGAGAGACCAGAGAGAGACCAGAGAGACCAGAGAGAGGCCAGAGAGAGAGACCAGAGAGAGAGACCAGAGAGAATGCTAGAATCAAGTGTTTTTGAGTGAGTACTTTCCCAATGGGGAAAAACCATAGTTTTATATCAATATATGTTGCTTTATTTTCAGAGAGAGACCAGAGAGAGAGACCAGAGAGAGAGACCAGAGAGAGACCAGAGAGAGACCAGAGAGAGAGACCAGAGAGAGAGACCAGAGAGAGAGACCAGAGAGAGAGACCAGAGAGAGAGACCAGAGAGAGACCAGAGAGAGACCAGAGAGAGACCAGAGAGAGAGACCAGAGAGAGAGACCAGAGAGAGAGACCAGAGAGGGAGACCAGAGAGAGAGACCAGAGAGAGAGACCAGAGAGAGAGACCAGAGAGAGACCAGAGAGAGACCAGAGAGAGACCAGAGAGGCCAGAGAGAGAGACCAGAGAGAGAGACCAGAGAGACCAGAGAGAGAGACCAGAGAGAGACCAGAGAGAGAGGCCAGAGAGAGACCAGAGAGAGAGACCAGAGAGAGAGACCAGAGAGAGAGACCAGAGAGAGAGACCAGAGAGAGACCAGAGAGAGACCAGAGAGACCAGAGAGAGGCCAGAGAGAGAGACCAGAGAGACCAGAGAGAGAGACCAGAGAGAGACCAGAGAGAGAGGCCAGAGAGAGACCAGAGAGAGAGGCCAGAGAGAGAGACCAGAGAGAGACCAGAGAGAGACCAGAGAGAGAGACCAGAGAGAGAGACCAGAGAGAGAGACCAGAGAGAGAGACCAGAGAGAGACCAGAGAGAGACCAGAGAGACCAGAGAGAGGCCAGAGAGAGAGACCAGAGAGAGAGACCAGAGAGAGAGACCAGAGAGAGAGACCAGAGAGAGACCAGAGAGAGAGACCAGAGAGAGAGACCAGCGAGAGACCAGAGAGAGACCAGAGAGAGACCAGAGAGAGAGACCAGAGAGAGAGACCAGAGAGAGAGACCAGAGAGAGAGACCAGAGAGGGAGACCAGAGAGAGAGACCAGAGAGAGAGACCAGAGAGAGACCAGAGAGAGACCAGAGAGAGACCAGAGAGAGAGACCAGAGAGAGAGACCAGAGAGAGAGACCAGAGAGAGAGACCAGAGAGAGAGACCAGAGAGAGACCAGAGAGAGACCAGAGAGAGACCAGAGAGAGAGACCAGAGAGAGAGACCAGAGAGAGAGACCAGAGAGGGAGACCAGAGAGAGAGACCAGAGAGAGAGACCAGAGAGAGAGACCAGAGAGAGACCAGAGAGAGACCAGAGAGAGACCAGAGAGGCCAGAGAGAGAGACCAGAGAGAGAGACCAGAGAGACCAGAGAGAGAGACCAGAGAGAGACCAGAGAGAGAGGCCAGAGAGAGACCAGAGAGAGAGGCCAGAGAGAGAGGCCAGAGAGAGAGACCAGAGAGAGACCAGAGAGAGAGACCACAGAGAGAGACCAGAGAGAGACCAGAGAGAGAGACCAGAGAGAGAGACCAGAGAGAGACCAGAGAGACCAGAGAGAGAGGCCAGAGAGAGAGGCCAGAGAGAGAGACCAGAGAGAGACCAGAGAGAGAGACCAGAGAGAGAGACCAGAGAGAGACCAGAGAGAGAGACCAGAGAGAGAGACCAGAGAGAGACCAGAGAGAGACCAGAGAGAGACCAGAGAGACCAGAGAGAGACCAGAGAGAGAGACCAGAGAGAGAGACCAGAGAGAGACCAGAGAGAGACCAGAGAGAGACCAGAGAGAGAGACCAGAGAGAGAGACCAGAGAGAGACCAGAGAGAGAGACCAGAGAGAGAGACCAGAGAGAGAGACCAGAGAGAGACCAGAGAGAGAGACCAGAGAGAGAGACCAGAGAGAGAGACCAGAGAGAGAGACCAGAGAGAGAGACCAGAGAGAGACCAGAGAGAGAGACCAGAGAGAGAGACCAGAGAGAGACCAGAGAGAGAGACCAGAGAGAGACCAGAGAGAGAGACCAGAGAGAGACCAGAGAGAGACCAGAGAGAGAGACCAGAGAGAGAGACCAGAGAGAGAGACCAGAGAGAGACCAGAGAGAGAGACCAGAGAGAGACCAGAGAGAGAGACCAGAGAGAGGCCAGAGAGAGAGACAGAAAGAGAAGAGAGAGAGTACATTTTGCTTTGTTCATTGGTAAATCATGTTTTCAGGCACAGTCAGAATGTGTTAAAATTAAGAAACATTTAGTCAGATATATGTGTTTAATAATTTACTATTTTCTGTTAATATTTTTTGTCTAGAGAAGGTTCCACAGAGCAATAGTTACGGATGCGACCAAAAGGAGAGGTCTGGATAAACATTTAGAGCATTCTAAAAGGAGGACACTAGGTTATTTTCATACAGATGTTATTTTGGTGATGTATGTGTTGAGACTAAAGGTCCACCACGTATTCTGAAAAAATAAATAATAATAATACTTTTGCCTCCATCATTAAACAGTGGATATTTTTGTAACAGAATTTCAAAGGGAGAAAGACATAAAAACATTAGTACAAAAAAGTCCAATTGATCTCTTTGGAAATCTACAATAATCTATAAATAAACTCTAAAACATATTTTCAGTGCATTTACAGGAAATATTCATTTAAATGTAAAAAGTTTGAGGCTGAAAAAGGTTTTCTAATGAGACAAAAGAAGATAGACAGAAGATAGTTCTGCTTCAGCCATGTTTAGACTGACCACGCCCCCTCACACTGACCACGCCCCCTCACACTGACCACGCCCCTTCCGATCATTCAGACTGACCCCAAAAATAGTAGGAACGGAAAAACATAAATAAAATGCAAAAGATGGAGACGAAAGATGATTGAAATCAGGAAGCAGGGACCGTCAACAGAGACGAAGGGGCCTTCACCCTTCACCCTCACACTTGGGCCACAGGGGGGCGTGGTCACAGTCAGTGGTTATGTGCTCACCCTTAGGGGCCGTGGTCACAGTCACAGGGGCGCGGGCAGTCATAGGGGGCGTGGTCACAGTCATAGGGGGTGTGGTCAGAGTCCGAGTGGTCAGTCAGAGGGGGAGTAGTCAGTCAGCGGGGCCGTGGTCAGTGGGGGCGTGGTCACAGTCATAGGGGGTGTGGTCAGAGTCCGAGTGGTCAGTCAGAGGGGGAGTAGTCAGTCAGCGGGGCCGTGGTCAGTGGGGGCGTGGTCACAGTCATCGGGGGCGTGGTCAGAGTGGTCATCGGGGGCGTGGTCACAGTCAGAGGGGGCGTGGTCAGTCTGACAGATCCTGCAGAAACACTGGTGAAGCAGAACTAGCTTCTTTACTCTCGTCTCATCAATCATCTACATCCATCTCTGGTCTCCTGTGTTTGTGACCTCAGACCCGGCTGATGTCTTCCAGCCCGTTGCCGCAGTCGTCCTGGGGCAGAGTGAAGCGGATGTGTCGGCTCTTCTCCCAGCCTCTGCGGATCCTGGTGAGTCTGAGAGCGACACAGGGCAGGAGCAGGAGCGAGCGGAGGAGGAGCAGCACGGCGGGAGGGAGGACCACCAGGAGGAAGGGCGGGGGCAGGTAGAAGGGGTAGTGCTGGGGGTCCAAGGCTCTGGTCCAACCGTATAACGAGGTGTGGAGCGTGGCGAGGAACAAGGCGCCGTGACCCAGACACGACTGCGGAGAAAACACAGAGACAGAAACAAAACTGTGAAATAGTTTATGAAAGATGGTTTTTCAGGACTTCGAGTTTGGTCCAAGGAAGAAATACAGCCTCAGTCCTGGGTCTACAGCCTCAGTCCTGGGTCTACAGCCTCAGTCCTGGGTCTACAGCCTCAGTCCTGGGTCTACAGCCTCAGTCCTGGGTCTACAGCCTCAGTCCTGGGTCTACAGCCTCAGTCCTGGGTCTACAGCCTCAGTCCTGGGTCTACAGCCTCAGTCCTGGGTCTACAGCCTCAGTCCTGGGTCTACAGCCTCAGTCCTCGATCTACAGCTTCAGTTGTGACTAACAAAGACTGGTCCGAACCTAAAGTCAGAGCGTCCTCTGAGCTACATGTTCATTAGCTCATGTAGCCTCCGCTGGTGGACCCCCCGCGGACCCCCCCCCCGTGACCTGAACCGCTGAGTAATGTGTCCGTAATGAGTCCAGAGGCGGTGCAGGCCCAGTCCACACCTTCCATGTCTCGCTCTGGGATTTTTACATCCAGCATCGAGCATTAAACTGAGAGTGCGTGAGGACAGACCCTGAGGCTAATGCTAATGCTAATGCTAATGCTAATGCTAAAGGAGGAAACTAAAGTACAATACATTTAATTACTACTTTACTGGAGCTGGGAATAGTTACTTTACATTTGAGAGGGCAACAAACAAGCGATAGCAAAACATATTCGGTATCGCAGAGATCTTGTTTGAACGAAGTTGAAATTATTTTATTGTTTTACTTATTTTGCTCATTCTATTTATTTATACATATGAATCTGGCAAACCTGTTTATCAAAATGCAAAACTCATATCTGTGCTGCACTTTGGAGACTTGATTGTGCTATTGTATATAAATAGTATTAGCTTTTGAGCCGAGAGGTTTGAAGACGCCATACAAAAGCATTGGGTAATTCTCTTTCCGGGTACACCCCCACAGGCCCGGAATGGTAATGCAAGTATGTCAATGCACGCTCTCTGCACGTGGACCTTTCGAAGCCTAGACTTTGACAGATTAAGATTAAGAACAGTCTTCTAACAGTAATTGAGCGACATTTTTTAATTCTACAACGTGGGATATTTGTAGTTTATTCTTATTAACTTGATATTGGCAACACACAAAAACCAAACTCTACAATATTCTAAATAAACGTATTGTGTTATTCCAGCGGCTGACTGTGACCATCCACGACATACACCATGTTTTCAGACGTATATCTTTAGAACAAGGACAAAGGCATCAGTGAGTCTGGAGGCTCTGAACTCATGGCTCAGACCCTCACAGAGGCTCTGTCCTGAAGCTACATGTCTCTGTGGTCCAGAGGCGGCAAAAGCACGTGGCTAATGTGGGCCGCCTCTGGACCAGCGTCAGGGAAAGAGGAAAGAGGAACAAGATGGCCCACTGCGGAGGGACCGGAGTGAGTCAGAGCCCTCCTCATGGGTTTGTCACAATCTTTAAGCAGAAGAAAAACACTGTAAAACTAAATATACTGCACAATGTCACAATTACAATACAAGTTATATACAATTTTCACTATATAACTCCTGTCTATATGTACAGTATATAATGTACTCCCAGTACTCCCACAGGCCAAGCGAAGGGTGATTGGAGCTCCGCCCGAGCAAGACCCTCACACCGTGAGAGGACTCAGGGCAGAAGAAACAAAGCATGTTACCGGGCCACTCCTACCAAGGACGCCCCCACGTAACACCAATCGTAGGTCAACCGTAGTCACAGGACGCCTCTCCCAAGAGCTCCTGATGTAGACTACCAGACCGATCAAACACACATATATGTACCGCACCTGTAGGATGCCTCTCCCAAGAGCTCCTGCACCAGGGCGGAAAAATAGACCGAAGGCCCACTCCTCAGGGGAGGGACCCAACGGTCCAACTCAATCCGCTGCACTCAGCACGGAATGGGCCACCGACCGGTCCGACACATCCGAAAGATAAGACCGGACGAAAGAGGAGGACGACGCCCAAGAAGCCGCACGGCAAACGTCCTCGACCGACGCCCCCCTGAGAAGGGCCGTAGAGGCCGCCATCCCACGCGTGGAATGCGACCTGAAACCCACCGGGGGGGCCAGGCCCTGCGCCTGATACGCCCGTCGCACCGCCGTGGCGACCCAATGCGCCAGCCGCTGAGCCGACAGCGGGGCGCCCCTGTTCTTGGGGCCCAGACACACAAACAGCTGATCACCCGACCTGAATGACGACGTCATGGCCAGGTAATGCCTCAGCATTCTGATAGGACACAGAAGGTGCTGCCGCTCCTCCTCGGGGGAGGCATGCGGCGGCGGGTGGAAAGCCCTAATCCTGATCACTCTCGACCTAAAAGCCGACGTGATGACCTTGGGGAGAAAAGCCGGATTGGGCCACAACTCCACCATGCCGTCGTCCTCTCCAAAGGACAGGCACGACGCATGGACTGAGAGCGCACACAAATCGCCCGCCCTTTTTGCAGACGCCAACGCCAGCAAGAGGGCCGTCTTAAAAGCGATACAATCGGGACTCGCCTCCGCCGCCGGTTCAAAAGGCGAACCCGACAGCCCCCTAAGGACCACCCTGAGGTCCCAAACCGGAGGCGTTCTCTGGAGCGGGGGCCTCCTCCTGCGCGCGCCCCCCGCAGAAAACGTTTAATCAACGGGTGAGAGCGGGCTGTGAACCCCCCGAACCCGTCGTGACCTGAAGTAATGGCTGCCGCAAACACCGCCAAGGTAGCGACAGCCCTCCCCTTGTCGAAAAGCTCCTGTAGGAATCCCAGGACCCCCTCCAGCGGGCAAAACCTGGGATCCCAGGAACGGGAATCGCACCAGGCACTGAATAGCCTCCACCTCGTGGCGTAGGCCCTCACGGTGGACGGCGCCCTCGCTCCCTGAATTGTCTCCACCACCGCAGGGGGAAGACCCAGATCTACGAGGCTCCGCCTCTCAACCTCCAAACCCAGAGCCTGCGGCCGATTATCGGACGTGAAAACAGGGCTCCTGCCCCCTGGACTAGAGCCCCCGGCTCGTCCGGGAGGGCCCAGGGCTCCATCACCGCCATGCCCCTCAGGAAGGGGAACCACCGGGCATGCGGGCTGTCCGGAGCCACCAGAATCACCGACCTCCTCTCCTGTTCGATCCTCCGCAGTAGGACCGGCAGGAGACGCACCGGTGGAAAAGCGTACAACAGGCCGCCTGGCCATGGGTAATGAGCCAGAGCGTCCACGCCTAAAGGCGGCTCGTCCGCGGCCCTTAAGGCGAACCAGGACGGGCACTGTGCGTTCTCTGCACTGGCGAAAAGGTCGACTACTGGACGACCGAACCTCCGCCAGATCTCCGCGGCTACCCGTGGGGCCAGGCCCCACTCGTCCTGGAGTGGGCCCCCCCTGGACATCCTGTCGGCTCCCACGTTCCGGACCCCCGGGACGTGGCGCGCCCTGAGAGACAGGAGGTGAAGCGCCGCCCACAGCAGCGTCACCGTCGCCATGCGATGGAGAGCGGGGGACCTGGTGCCCCCCTGCCTGTTCAGATAGGAGACCACTGTGGTGTTGTCTGAGCGCACCATCACGTGTCTCCCCTGCAGCTGAGGGGCAAAGTGCAGCAGTACTCTGTGCACTGCCTCCATCTCCAGCAGGTTGATGTGACGGGCTGAGTCCGACCAGCAGCCTCCTACAGAGCTCTGGCCGAGGACCCCGCCCCATCCTTCGAGCGACGCGTCCGTGAACACCTCGGCGTGAGACACAGCGCAGGCCAGAGTCACTCCGTCCCGCAGTAGACCCGGAGTGAGCCAGAACCTGATGTCCGATGCTGCCCCTTGGGGAACCCAGATCAGCCTCCCCCCGTCCCGGGAGGGGTGAAGCCTGAGGCGCGAGAACCACCTCTGAAAATTTCTCATGTGGAGCAGGCCTAGCCGCACCACAGCATGAGCCGCTGCCATCATCCCCAGCAGGGACCTGAGGCGCCGAGCGGGAACTCTGGGGCCCGCCAGAACCTCCCGGGCCAGACGGGTAATATTCGTCCGTCTGTCCACGGACAATGCAGCACGGAATATCACAGAGTCTAGCTGCAGACCGAGGTAAATCATGCGTTGGGCTGGCTGCAGCTTGCTCTTCTCCCTGTTCACCACAGAGCCCAGACGCTGTATGTGGGACAAGACCCATTGCGTGTGGCTCACGGCCACTTCCCTGGATGGGGCCAGTATTAACCAATCGTCTATATAGGTCAATATTCTTACCCCGGCACGTCTGATCGGCTCCAGAGCCGCTTCCACACATTTGGAAAAAGTGCGAGGCGCGAGAGCGTACCCGAAAGGGAGACGGCAGTACTCGTAATTCCTCTCTCCCACTGCGAAGCGCAGAAATCTCCTGTGTTCTGGCACTATGGGTACGTGGAAGTATGCGTCTGTCAGGTCTATGGATGTCATCCAGTCTCCTTCCCTGACACACTCGAGGAGCTGCCTTGTGGACAGCATCCGAAACTGCCGTTTGGAAATGCACTCGTTTAACACGCGCAGATCCAGAATGGGGCGCACCCCGCCTGATTTCTTTGGCACCAGAAAGTAAGGGGAGTACAGCCCCCTGGTGGCGTCCTGCGGGTCTACCTCCACTGCTGCGCCTCGACTCAGCAGGGAGGAGACCTCTGCTTCCAGTGCCTCTGTCGATCCCCGTACCTGAGAGCGTACTGCCCGTACGCCTCGGAATGGTGGTGGCTTTCGGAAAAATTGCAGAGCGTAACCTCTGCGCAGAGTTTTCTCCAGCCAAACATCTGACAGTAAGCCCTGCTCCTTCCAGATGTCGTAGAAATCTGTGAGGGGCGGAACGGGAGCTGGAACACGAGACGTCATGGCCCCGCCCCCTCCTGGTGTTCCTAGCAGGGAGGGGGGGTGGCTGAAAGGGCCGGGGGGGCCCCTGCGTCACACCGTGAGCGCCGAGGGCGGTCACGTGTTCTGCAGGTCCGACGTCATAAGTACGGGACTGCTCACCACACGTGACCCGGCTGCTGCTGCGCCCCCCCCTGGCTCTTGCCTCATGGAGGGGGGGGCGAGCCCCTGCATCGGGAAACCCCGTGTTAGCATTGTAGCTCTGCTCATCACGCGTGACACGGCTGCTGCGCCCCCCCTTGGCTCTTGCCTCATGGAGGGGGGGAAGAGCCCCTGGATTAGGAAACCCCGTGTTAGCAATGTAGCTCTGCTCATCACGCGTGACACGGCTGCTGCGCCCCCCCTTGGCTCTTGCCTCATGGAGGGGGGGGGAGCCCCTGGATTGGGAAACCCCGTGTTAGCCTTGTAGCTCAGAGATGCTAACACGCTAGCGCCCGGAGCACACACATTAGCACTTATCAGATCCCTCCGCCTGCCCTCTCTCCGGGAGGGCAAAACATGAACCCGTGAATCGGAGCTCGTGGTCTGCACAGCGCGCTGCACGCCCTTCTCTGGGGGCTGCAGGCCTGGCGGAGCCACGTTATATGCTCGAGAAGTAACACAAACAGAATTCAAATCATTTGACATGTTACATACCCCCAAATGAGACTCAGACAGCGAGTACTGGTGAAATGCCGGACGGCCTTTATTGAAAGAGTTTTTACCACCCCGACCTCCTCTACCGTAGGGAGGCCGTCGATGGGTGTGTTGGTCCCGCGAACCTCCCGTGTGCCTGTCTGGGCCCGGGGGTCTCGCCGCTGGGGAACGATGGACCACGGAGCGTGGATATGGTCCGGGGCGCTTGCCAGGCGAGCGCTCCCTGCCTCTGTCTCGGCTCCGCGCTGGTGGGCGGGCCTCGCGTCTCGTAGCTAGGTGTTTTGCCAGGCTAGCCGAGTCCTTAGCCGCGCTGTCCAGCCTCGTCATCAGCGTCTGCATCTCCGGACCGAAGAGCGACGTCTGGGAGATGGGCAGGTCCAGCAGCTGCCTCTTCTCCGCCTCTCTGAGGTTCACCGCCCCCAGCCAGAGGTGTCTGGCCCCGACCTGGGCTGCTGCCATAGAGCGGCCGCCATCGACAGCTAGCGCTTGGCACATGCGCAAGATCGCTGCTGAAGTGGTCCTCGCCTGGGCTAAGGTGTCTCCACTGAGTGCCTGGTCAGAGGAGAGAGACCTATCCAGGGCCCCGGTGATGAAAGCCATGTTGTTCGCCACCGCGACGACCTGAGCCGCATTGGCGTAACATCTGTCATGCATAGCCAGAGACATCCTATCCCGCTCGGAGGGAAGGAGAGGTCTGGTGCTGGGCCACACGGATGAGGAGGGGTGCAGGGCCGCCCGAACCGAGTCCTCGATGTCCGGGACCCCGCCTGTCCAGGACCAGTCCTGCACGTTGCAGTACATGCCATACCCCAAAGCGGGCCTCTTGGCCGCTAGGGGTTTTGGCCACTCACGTGTCGCGTAATGGACGATCGGGTCCATACGCGGGCACAACGTGGGCTGGGCTCTCCTCCTCCCTCGAGGGGCTGCGTACCCAGAGGTGAAGTCCTCCACCCTCTGGTTCGGTTGCGGTGGCAGGGGGGCATCCATGATGGCCGCCGCCGTGGCGTAGAGCCCAGGCATGTGGTCCAGCGGGAAGCGGTCCGGCTCCGGGTTGGACACCACCTCGTCCAGCGTGAGGAGAGAGCCGACCTCCGACACCTCTCCGTCCTCGCAGTCACCCCACTCCGCGGGCACAGGTGGAATGTCGAGGGGGGCCCAGTCAATCTCAGACTCCTCGTCCTTAGAGGAGTCCGGACGGGGCGCTGTAGCGGCGAAGAACGCGCGCCTGCGTTCACTCTCCTCCCTGGGGAGAGCGACACACGAGGCGCAGGTGGCGCTCAACGCCGCATGGCCCGCACCCAGGCACATGAAGCAGCTGGAGTGCTGGTCCTTGCGTTGGAGCTTGCCCCGACAGGTCGAGCAACGACGACGTCCGACGCCGGATGGCGAAGGGGAACTCGGACGTGCATCAGAAGACATCTTTCTTTCTCAGGTAACGAATGTAGATCTCAAACGGCGCCAGAGTGAAAGAGGGGGTGCGGCCT